GGAGAAGTTCCCGGACCCTATCTCAAAACATTAACCAGTATATAGCGCCTCCTAAGTAGTAATAAAATTGTTATTTATTTGCAGCATTAGCGTTATTCGATCATGTAAACGCATTGTGTGGAAGTTTATCAGAATTATGTACCCCTGCCACCTGTCAATATATGAGTTATCCGGGAACTGCGTAAGTTGTTGAGCTAAATATAGTATTTTTGTTTTTTTTTTGTAATTTTTCGTGAAAATTAGTAATAATATAGATTCCAAGGATACGGTAGAAACATTATTCAAATGATTCCTAATTTTCTTTTTGTTTTTTTCAGCAAAGCCTATTACATCGATGAACGAGGAAAGAGGCATCTCTATTCAGCTATGCAATATATGGATTGTGTGATGTCATTTTGTGAGAAGGCAAGCAGAAGTGAAGAACTATTCCCAACCAAATACGGTATGTTTACGTTACATGTATTTACGCCCCTAGCGTCTCTCCTACCGTAATGATTGCGAATTTTAGTGTTTGTTTTCTGTAACGACGTATGTTTACATTTCTCCGTGACTTTTATTATAGAAACAGGAGGGTGATAGGAAATTATTTCTCATGTCGTCCAAGCATTCTTATCGTGTCCCATGTGCCGATTGATAATATAAAAACTGGTCTGAGAATATTCCTATAAAATGTATCGATCAATAACTATTGTTTTCAGGTAGTCAATTTTCGGGTGATTTCGAGTCCCATATCCGACGGGTTATCCGCCTCCTATGGCACTGTTGCGGCCATTTGGCATCGAAACATTGGGATGAATTGGGTGAGCTGATTTTTAAAAGCGGATTTTGTCAATAAAATACTGTACTTATCAAAAAATCAAAAAAAAACTATATAAAAGGTGGAATGATCAAAGCTATTGTGTGAAACCTTTTCTACTGTTTTTCTGTACTGAGAACGCTCTAGTAATTGTAGGCCCTTTTGTTTTTTTTTGGGGTGTTTTCCGTTCCTAAATTACTTGTTCTTTTGCTTTCTCAAGATGTTTTTGTATCGAACCGAAATTGTTACTTTTAAGCTTACTCATGACTTACTTTTCGGGATGTTTTCCAAACAAATGCTCTTGCCAAGAATTGATCATTTCTTGGATGATCCATCATTGTGTCTGGAATTTCTGGGAAACATTTCATCCTATTTACCTACGTACCTTTCAAATAGGTTTTAGATTTAGTTACTGGATCAGGCTAAGCAAAAACTGGTTCAAACTTATCTGCGGGAAAACAGCATCGGTCGCGGCCGCACTTCTTTGTGAGACTCGTTCCTGTGGAAATTTTTAGGATTATTTTCGAATGCAATTGAAATTCCACTTGTTTTTTCAACTCCCACATAAAATCGAATTTTGCTTGTCTTTTACTATTTTGTTTACATATTGTTACTCATTGTATTGTTTAAGGTCAACTTGAATTGCGGCCGCAATGTGCTTTGGTGATGGCACACTTGTCGAAACTGAGTAAAACTTTCGCCCTACTCGATAGTAAAGATCAACAACTGATTAACAATATGGTACAAACGGTTGGTATAGTACTGTTAATTCTTTCCCAAACCAACTTTCATTGTTTTCGTTCAATTGGCCCTCTCAAGACATTACTTAGGGGAATAATTAGTTACCTCACACCAGTCTTTACTTACTTTTCTTATATTGGTTTTACGTGATTAAGTTATTGTTTTACACTTTCTACAGCATTTTATTGTCTCTGTTACGGTACGTTTTCAATGACCTTACCGTTTCAGATCCGTCCATCCCACGTCCCATCATCAGGTCGTGGGGAAGACGCAGGCGGTGCGACGTCCCAACGATGGAGTCGTGTACCGTCATCGAAAAGTGGCAGTTGGGGTGGACACCCGACACCGGCAGTGCTTACTTGTAAACCGTATGCACAAACGTGTTGAAGAAACCAAAAGCTAGTAGTGCTGATGAAACTGCTCTCTGATGTTGTCGAGCCGCCGGCCGCTGCTATCGCGCTACCAACGCTGCTGCTATTGCTGCCATGGACTTTCTCACGGTGTTGTTTTATTGGAATCTGCTAATCACCTCCTCTTTTCAACCAACCGCTTCCTTCCAAAAAACCAACCAACAAAATCAAGTAAACCAAAACGGCGTCTAAAATACGATCGATTGGTCGCCGACGATCGTTTGAAAGCGGGTGTTCGCCGTGGTGAATTCGAGGTGAAATTGCACGCACGTACGTCGCAACGCGACACGCACGCGTCTCGTTCGTACACGGGGGCGCGTGCGTATGCGTGCGTGTGTATGTCACCGTGATCGCCATAATGGAGTGTGTTTCCTTAAAGAGGCCATGAATGTCACATATATTCGCGAATGTATGTGTACCATAGCTGCTACTGTTCCCCCCATGCTAGGGTATTTGTTGAAAAGGATCAATTGCCTCAAGAGTTGTGATCGTCACAAGTGTTCTAGTTTTTGTCTGTCTGTGTGTGCGTTTTTTTATATTGTTCTGTCATCTACCTGTGAAAAATTACAGATATTGTCATAGTTCTGTATGGTACTGATGTAAAACACTACGTGGAGATTTTATCTGGTCTACATCTTCAATTTCATTATTTATGTATCATGTATCTATTTTTTCCTTCTTCCTTTTCATGGCTGGACATGAAACTGTCCTAGAGGTTATTAGTTGAACACGCCTCCACTCTCACTTGACTGTATATAGCCAGATATACAAATGTATCATGTGCATACTAGAACGTGTTAACCGTATTTCAGGCGCAAAATCTCGGTGGAATATCGGTTTAATAAAATCATATGTCTTGTGACTTTTTTGTACACAAAGATATGATTGTCAAAAAACAATTTCCGATACATCGTAAAGGAATTCGCTGAAATCAAGTTTCTTTCTTGTTAGGACGCCTGGGAAGACGGGGAGTAGGAACGGTTTTATGTTATCGATCCGCCGCATCCGGCCGTCGCGCACCATTTGCCCCGTTGTAACAGTTCTAACATTCTCCATACAGCTCAATCGTTAGGCGATTACTACTTTTGGCATGATCCTGCTGTTCTTTTGTTCTTGTATTTCTTACTTGCTGCTGCGTTCTGCTAAATGAATTCGCGCGCAACGTCTCTTTCGCCGCGTCGCGACAATTTCTTTCCAAATGCACCACACCTGGACACCTGCGATAACGCGGGCTCTAAACAGATCGAGAACATGATCACTTCATGAGCATACTCAGCTGACGGTACGCACAGCGTCTTATGCTTAAATTTTTTGGGGTATAACTATAAAGAATAAAGGAAGAAGGTCTTCGCGCATTCAACTTCTATTCAGAATCGTAGTGGCGTATTGAAAGCGTATGTGGCCTATACAATGATTTGCAGTGGCCAGCCGATGTGTAATTAGCGCTTTCTCCTCCCAGACGCGTCTGATAACGATTAACGACCCCAGAGTGATGGAAGGCTCAGTTGGCTTAGGTGGATATCGGTCCGGGACTTGAACCGTGACCATGTGTGTGGATAGTGCGCCTTTTGCCGGGTGTGGTGCGATTCACGCGCCAATATAATGAGGTCATCGTACA